GACCCAAAACAATACAAACCTCCTAACCAATGCTTCTGATCATACCATAAACTAAGATAATTATGATGTATTCCCACTTTTCTGATACCATTATCTAGATGGGAAGTGATTTAGTTTGATGACATCTCATCAAAATTGTATGTAGGTTAGTTCAGAATTCAGAAATGACGAGAATGAGTAGCAAACTGACATATGATATGAATGTGAAAATATTTTCTAAGGTCCTTGCAGGATATGTGTTCCAGATTTAACACTAGTGCTAAAAATAGAAGCAATATAATTTTCTTAATTTGTGTGACTGTGGGGACCATCAGCAAACTATTACATATACTGAAGTCAATAGATTTTATTCCATGTGACGTTTATGTATTGCATCTGTGCCATATCCATAAATTAAAAATATGCAGGCAGAGAGCATCCTTTAGTAATTATAGCAAAATAACACTAGCAGAAGATAATAGGCAGTAATTTGGTTACAAAGACTGCAACAAATGAGTCCTAGATAAGTAAAATATTTCTCATTAAAAAGTATTGTTGGAGAATCTTGGTCCCAGATATGTCACAGGAAAAAAAAATCCTATTAATTTCAGTGAAGACAGGATTTCACTTTTTGATGATTTCTTATTACAATAATTTAACAGCATCTCAAGAGAAGTCTTAAATTTAAATTGTCAGCTTGTCTGCACTGTTTATTTGTTTGCATTGCATTCTGGTATTCTTTGAAGTTAATTTTATTAAATGATATAAAACATAAAAAACAGCCTAATTGATCTATGAATAGTAATTGGGAAAAGGATTTATATCTTATTGGTTGTTTTCAATGTTATCCATGATACATACAGTATTTGTTCAATTAGATTGTCTTCTTACAGTACATTTTTCAAAACATGGATTAACTATGTCAGATTTTCCATGATCACACTGGATGTATGCAAATTGTGAAGCTGGTGATATTTTCAGTATGTGCTATTACCTTGGTCCCCACTTTCTAAACTGGACTGCTTGCTGTTATTCACAAGTTCTGTCTCTACTTAGGGATTGAGAGTTCCCTTTTAAAGGCAATAAATAGCGCATACTGAGTTCTCATCTGGGTCTTCCATTAAGGCACGATAAGGTTGTGTGCCTCAACTTGAGAAGGGTCTCGGTGTCCTCATGAGTAGCTGATGCCAGCATCTACCACAGAATCTTTTTGAATTTGGTTGTAATTTGTGTTTTAAAAGAAATTGCCACCAGCTCCACCTGTCAAATCTATTTTAGGGTGAATGAAAATTTAGTGCTTCCTAAAAATGCTATATATAGTCCTGTAAAATATTCTCAGTGATGCAGGCTACACACAGTTACTAAGGAAAGCACTTGATGGGAACAGGCTGGTTTTATTGACTAAAAGAAGCCCTATCAGAATGTATTATAGAGTTTTGAGCTCAGTAACACTGCACGTTCAAACCAGTAAGTACTTCTGCTTATATTTTACAATTCATAAAAACCAATTTAGGAATAATTTATATGACACACATTTAGTTTTTGGCAATTTGTGAAAAAGCCAACATGTTTTGCAAATGTACTTACTGCTTAGAAGTCAATCTGTACATAAATATGTACATATTTGTACAAAATTATATCAACCCATGTTAACTCTCTGTGGCAAGCATTCAACAAATGGAACTGTGACGTTCAAAAACATGAAGGAATCACTCACTTGCCTTTGACAGTGGTATAGATCAGTATCCCCAAGACTGCCTATTCCTAATGCAGGAGAACTAGCCTTTAAAATTAGAATTCAGAACAGTCACCACAATGAGCACTGTGATAGCGAAGTCAGCCCATAGGAGCATGAAAGATAAGAACATGTGAAACTCTCTCTCCTATGTGTTTATGTCACTGCTGTAGCCACACATCTCTCTGAAGCTGGGTGCTTAGGTGAGTTGGTCTTGCTTCTCCTTTCTACTTTGGCACTATGAAGTAGTCATTGAAAAAGGATAGGTGGGGCCCTGTCCACTGCTTATGCATTTTGCAGTAATGAAAATGAAAAACAAAAAAAACCCAAACAAAATAAAACCATCTGGAACATATGAAACTACAAGAGGGAGTACCCCAGGGATCCCCAAGATACTGTATTTTAAGAGAATGGTCTGACTGCTGGTTGCAGCATTCCGCATCATCTCATACATCTGCTACACAGGGAAAACAGGCAGTTCTGGCTACACAGGGCAGCACTTCAGCTTCTTTGGTAGGAGACAAGGAATTAAATGTGTCCTACTGGGGATATGTTTAACTAATTCACCTAATTTTAGCTATCTAGAATTTGGACATCTGTTTTAAGCTAGTTGTTACACTTCTAATGTAGTGTGGTACATTGAGGTGTAGACACATCCAGAGTGTATCAGAGAGAACCAGTATTCATCCCAGTTCAAACCAGGATGAAGGAACTGTTATTCAGAAATTCTCTAGAACAAAAGAAGTAACCAGGATGACAAGCTTGAATGTTTGAAATAATTTTTATTCCTGATTTAATGACTTAAAAATCACAACATTTCCACACTCTTATTTTTGCAAAAAAACCCTTCCTTCATGTGGACATCTTTGGGAAAAACAGTGTGTGATTTGTTGAAAATCACTCAGAAGAAACAGACGGTTCTTTCACTTGGGAATAATTTCATGCATTGTCAATGGCATTTTTATTCCTTACACTTTAGATGAAGAGTGTTTAATAATACTCTGAGAATTATGCTGTTGAACTGTCTGTTCTAGGAACTTGTTTTGATATCCTGATGGAAGAAGTGCAGTCTTGTTGGGATTAGTCTCAAGAAGGATTTTGCTCCCTCCGTACTATAGAACTGATTTTGCAATGTACTTAAGAGCCATTGCTAAGTAGGGCTCTCCAAAACCAATGTTATACATAAACTGAAGTGTGTTCTTGAATCATACCTGTGGTTTGGTGTAACTGTCATTCTCTTTCCTCTGAGTGGGAATGAAGCAAGTGGCAAAACTGCATGGGAAATGCTGAAGTACTGCAGTTTTCTACATCCTTCATCTTCACTCAAACTTAATCTGATTGGGAATAAGGCCACGTACCCTGGGATTTCGCCTGCCCATCTAAGGGTCCTTGTTACTCCTGAACCTCTCTCCTGGCCTCCGCATACATCATCAGAGAAGAGAAAGATGATAGCTGGTTTCTCTGTTGTTCTCCTGCGATAGAGAGAACATCAATGCCCTTTACATTTCTCATCTAGGAAATGACATGCTTAAATAGATTTGCTGCTCCTGCAGAAAGGCAATGGTCTTGATCTTCTGACAAGATTTGCTGAGTTACATAGGTCTGTAAAAAAAGGATTTTACAAGGTAGGTAGGAAGTATGGCATCCTGAATGGCATACTGGCTTCGGCTTTTTTTTGTTTTTTTTAAACTCACTATCTATAAGACATAAGTAAACATCATTGATCAGACAAGGTGAAAGGCATTGCACACACATAGAGATGAGGAAAGCTATTCTATTTTCTGTAGCACAGATTGGTGGGCTCAGAAGGACAGCATTTGAAACAAATATGATACAGTTTCACGTAAATTGCCAAATTCATCTAGTTTATCTGAAACAGAATGTCCTTAACTCTGTTTATGGTAGATAGGAGCTCACCTGTCACATATACACAGAAAATGAAAGTGCTGCTGAGATTAGGTGTTTCTTATCCAGAAGGGGCAAATATATAGAAAGAATTTTGGGGAAAATAATTCTAGTACTTGCTTTGTGTACTGTGCACAGTTAAGGTACTGTCCTTTTGGGTTTTTTCCTTTTCAAGTTACTAAGACAAACACAGCTAACTTTATTTAGCTTGGTGCAGATTAGAGATTTTTGCCAGTCATTAACATAAAGAGATCAACACATCCTGAAGCAAAGGGACCTGCATAGATTTAGGACAGGTAAAAATTTGACCTCCCTCAAATTCTGTTTTATTTCAAGTAGATACTAAGGCATTCATAGATATAGACCAAGGGCACATGGAGAGGATGTAATTCACAAACCCTGAGACAAAGGAGAATGGAACAGCACTTCCTGCCTTAAGTTTCTATGGTGTCCGATACAAGCTAACATCTCCTCAAAGTAACAGCACAATGTGAGTCAGGATGACCTTATAATTATGTGAAATACTACTGAAATCACAATGAAAAATGTTAGTGCTTCGAAATATTTGTGGGGCGTGGAATATCTTTAAGTGAGACTCAAAATACTTACAGTAAAAAAAATAGCTCTTTTCTAAAAGGCAAAGTAGTTTGAAATGTATTTTTTCTATATAAATCCACATTAGATATAAAAAAGGTGTTTTTCTAGCCAGCTGTAAATTTTATTAATTGTGTGTTTATTCTGTGGAGCAATCTGTCTTTTTTTTTCAACAAGACACAATGTAATTCATAATATAATTACTTGAAAGGCCACTGATATGCTTAGAATTAATGATCTGCTCTAATTCCTGATTAGAGCTCTCGTAAGTAAACTCAGAATAAGTTCTCATTACAGGGTTCTTTTTTGTTATTTTATAATTTAAAAATAGATATTTGTTTTTAATTTGATATAACCTTTATGTTAATACAACTAGATTTTTTAATGCGGAAGGAAAAAGAGAGGACTTCTATGATAGGTTATCAATTCAGTAGGGAATTCATAGATCATCAATGGAAAAAACCCTTTGGTTTTTGGCATGACAATGACTTTACTAACCCTCTCTTTTCTGTTTAATCAGGATTAAATATAGATAAAGGAATTTCAGAGTAAATTTCACGAATGTAGTCTGACTGATCTGAATCAGACACTGCCAAAGTATAGTGCATCCATATAATCAAAGGGACACCAGACCACATAAGACTAAATTGATTTAATTATGTACCATTGTGGGGGGTTAAAAATTCCCTTGGAAAGAGATCGGCTATTTCTAAAACAATTTTCAATGGTAGCTAGCTGACTTTCTTGAGTATGGCTTTTTATGTTTCTTTTTTTTTTTTCCCTCTAGGCTGTACTTTGGAGGTACAAGTTTTCCCAGCTCAAAGGTTCTTCAGATGATGGGAAGAGCAAAATCAAATTTTTGTTCCAAAACCAAGATACTAAACAAATTGAAGCAAAGGTAAAAACAATACATTGTTTGTTTTATAAAGGCAATGTACATTAAAAGCTGTTATCAAAGCAGCTAGGGGAACAGAGGAGTAAATGAAACTAAATTACTTAGAAATATTAGATTAACACACAAAGAATGCAAAGGAAACCAAAGAAATTCCAAGAAAGGAAAACTGAATCAATTGCTTGGATTTTTGCTAGTTTAAAGTCTTTTGAAAGGTGTAACTACATTAAAAAATAATAAAAAACAGGACTTGCTATATATGGTTTTAGGCATGTTTGCTAACTCTCCTTTTTATCATATTGATAAAGCCGGGTGAGAGTTTGAATGCCCTTTTTTTCACCCTATACTGGTATCATGAAGAAACGGTGCAAAATAAATCCTTAAGTCAACCTGGGGACAAAACCCAGCAAAGGCCTAAAATGTGTTTTTATTTCTCAGAGCAAAAAATTGTGGATTAAACACATATTCCCTTGCAAGACTGAAGCTTTGTGTCTGTGCCTACTTCAAAATCAGAGTTGTATTTTCAGTTGTGCTTTTGATTCAAGAGTTAATTTATGAAAACAGTAACCCTGAGAGATTTATGCTTAGTTTGATTTAGGTCTTTTGAGAATAGGGCATTTACTGTCCCACTGTGTGTGGGGAGAAATGATCTCCCAGCATCTTTGATAACTGGAACTGCCTTAGAGTCTGAATCAATGGTGGTTTTGACTAGAATCCCTACTTTTGTGTAAACCTAAAACTTACTTTTTGGCCATCTTTCGCCTTGCTTTTGAGCATTTGCTATATAATTTTTCCTGATCGTGTCAGAGAGAAAATTGCTGAATGAATGTGATAGCAATACAGTTCCAAAAGCAAAAAGGAAATGGTTAAATAAATTGTTGCCTAAAAGGGCTAAATATGCACAGCATCATAAAGTATGTAAAGAAAAAAGGCATCTTATCAGGGGCAGTCATGAGATTAAATGCAAATAAACACATGAAGCAGCTAATTTTCCTTCCTGCATGTCTCTTTATGTTTGGTATTAATTATTTTCTACCTAACAGCTATTTACTTGATTTTGAATGTTGTACACAATACAATAAAGCTATGTAAAGGCTCCCATTAAATCAACAGCAATGAAATGTGGTGGATTGTAGCTTTCAGTACCTTCATGTTCTGCTACATCTCAAAGATAAATATTTACTTACTTCCAATTTCCTTCAGAAATTGTTTTAATGGTACAGAATTTCTTTTCATCTCCATAACAGCCTAATGTTGTGAGGATTATTTTCATCTAAGCAAATAACTGGAAACTTTTATTATGCTTTTAAGTACAGCTGAAGGAAGAAACTCATCATTACTTTTCTAATATCTGTCTGTTATTGCCATTATATTAACACATGGTTTCAGGACTAGAGAAATTTCATAGGAATCCAAGAACAGCACAGTGTTTCTTTTTTTTTTTTTTCAGTAAAATTAGAATAAACTTTTAATACTAGATTAAATTTAAAAAATTAAAAACAAAGCATGAAATCTAGGTTTTGAAGAGGAAATATACGTTTCGTCAAAATGTTTTAATGTTTTAAAGTCATGCAAAGCACTTTATAAGCCTAAGAGATATCCTGGTACCTTTATCCTACTGACTGTTATTCCCACTCAAACTAAATAGAGTTTTATTTATAGGAAGTTTCATTTTTCTACTTTTTATCAAAGTAGAACTTCTACCTTCTACCTTATGAAGGCAGAATATTAATATGCTGTCATGTTCCCTGGTTGCTTCTTTTTATTATAAATTTAAACTTTCATGTCAGTCAATTTGGAAATAAAAATTTGTTACTTTTAATTCATTTTCTGTGTGATCAAAGCATGCAAATTACATATGAGGTATGTTGCTTAGTCTAAGAAATATAGAAAAATATGGCTATAAAATGAATGTGAAGATTCTTGGGTCATAATTTTTTCAACTTTGGTTAGTTTAAAATTCTGTGGATAGGCTCATTCAATATCCTTTAAGCCTTTCATGGATTCAAAGCACAATTCAGCATGAGAATAGGTGGAATAATCTAGCTTCTATTTTTTTGACTTTACTAGCATTACAGACTTAGACGTATAGCTATTTGGGGAACTCTTGAGTCATTAGGAATGGTTAATCAGATTTTCAGAAATGCTTGTAATGCCAGGTTTCATGCATACTGTATGCAGGCTTCATTTGGAATTTTGCAAAACATCTGTTAAAGGTTGTGATGAATATTCATGGCCACAGCTATCATCACCTGTTAAATGCAGCTCTGTGCTTCAGATGGCCTGGAGACCCACTGTTGTACGAGTAAATATAGCGTAACATTTTCTTCAAGTAAAGATAATTTTTTACCAGTTATATTACACAGGGAATAATCAGAATATAGTGAAATGAGAGCTCACAGCTGAGAACAAAATCAAAAATCTGAGGAGCCATTGCCCCAACATATTAGAGCTCTTCAATTCTGCATTCCCAAGCAGTAATGTGGAAGCAGGGCATGGCAGGTAACTGATACAGCTTAAGACAGTCACTAGAACTGAGAGTGCTTTTTCCCCCTTCATCATTAACACTAACATACTCTATGCAGAACCTACTCTGGCATACGCATACCTGATCTGAGATTCCTGCTTTTCTTGCCTCCAAGGTCTGTTTTCCTCCATCTCCAAGTTTCAGCTATGGCACTGCCAGAATGTATTAATGTATTTAATGCACTATAAATCAGTTACTCTCTGCAAACGTGAAGTGGTCTGGCAATGTTTTTGGGGGGTTTTTTTGTTTGTTTTGTTCTGTTTGTTGCTGTGTTGGTTTTTTTTTTAAATATTATTGCTTTCATCATGGTTGACAGCTGGCTGAATATGAGCCAGCAATGTGCCCAGGTGTTACTATAAAGATATATAGTGTATTATAACAGAAGTCTTTCCTTGTAGATTTAAGCTATTCCAGTCTGAAAAATCTGAACAGTAATTACCATAGGTCACACCAGTGGGCCCATGGCAGAGTGCCTGGATGCAAACACCTAACTTTGAAGGTCTCTAAGGCAAGGTCTAAGTGGTTTCTGAGAAGAAAACCACTTAGGGGCAACATTAATCACCAATACCCCTTAGACATTCCAATCTGTAGGTTATTTCCCAGCTGTCACTCAGCAGGAGATATTGCACAAGCTTTCACAGTCAGACAGAATTTTTCTGACGGAGAGCTACAAAATAGAGCTGTCGGCCTGGCAGAACGTGGAGCCTACGTGTCCCTCTCCTTCGTTCTTACTGAGCTGTTGGGGTTGGGTTGAAAAAAACAAGCACAAAAGGGCAAAGCTTTCTCCTCATCTATAAGACAGGGATTCACTTAGGCACCTCTTATTTAGTTGCCTACTTATTTACCTATTTGTTTACCTATAGTTTAATGATCCATTAGTGTGTCTCCAGTATCACAGCACCTTCCAGGGGCTAACACAATCTCAAGACTGTAAAAAACTTCAATTTTACCTAGCTAAGTATTGGACCATTGAAGAAACTGCTTTAGATTTTTCTGACAAAAATGGAGAGCATCTTAAATCTATGAAGATCCTGTTTCAAAATATATATATGCTCCCAAGCATAGGAGTATGTTAGGTATATAAAAATCAGCATCAGCACTGTTTTTCTTATTACATGCAATTTCCCTTATTTCCCTTTTTTTTTTTTTTTTAAGTAAACCCACCAATTATTAATTTCTGTGAACTGAGAATTCCTGTGCCTTGTAAAACATATGTATAACGCAGAAACTACTATTCGGTCTGTGCTTTCACCTTTCTCAACTTGCACTGCTTTTTGACAGCTCAACAGTTTTGTCAGTAAAACTCAGGCAAAGTCACACAGCTGTGCTGCATCAGGATAGCTTATGTTCACGGACTAGCTGAACCCCTAATCTGAATGTTACAAAACTGAAGTGAACACAAAAATCAGCACATCAAGATGAAGATCCAGTCAACTGTATTTGCCTATTTGAATATGGAGAACAGATGAGGGCAGAAATAGGGTATCAGCAAAGGAAGAAGCATACCTTCAAGGATTCAACATTAATACTTATTAATTAATTAATACTACTTTAATAGTAATTAATGCCAATTCATTTGTATTTGAAATTATCTTGTATAGGAATCTAATCTAAAATAAGACAAATAGCCTGAGTTACTGCTGTTGTAATGTGAACAAAATGCTCACTTTCAAGCGTTGCAAGGTGTCTTGATGGATGCTCGCATCATTTTCCAGACTGACATTTCTTCTCATTTCAAGTATATTCTTTAAAATATAATTTTAAATTAATCCTTGTTCTTAGCCTTGAGGGTTTTCCTGTGAGCATCACGGTACTCTTCAAATTTAGCATATTGGTTTTTAATGGGTTTTAAGTATACATCCTTAGGATTTTTATGGAGTGATTACTGAATTGCAGTGACTGCAGTCTGAGTTCAGATTTCTGACCTGTGTAGGTTTGTGTGATTCAATTTTTAGTTTCCTAATGTCTTGCACATGGATTATCTGTTAAATACGTATTTCAGATCAGATTCTATGCTAATATAGAGAGATCATGTAACACCACATTTGATGAAAGAACAAGTATCTTCTCATATCAGCAGTTTATATATGGATGAAAGAAAGGATTTTTTCTAGCCATATCATGAATACTTACAAACTTAAAGTTGCTTGATTTTGTAGATGTATTGTTTAAGTAGTTATTTCATTGATGTAAGGCAGTTCCTTGTTTCTTTTGGTTTTTTTTTTTTTTTTTTTTCATCTGGGGGCACTGTCCTTTCAATCCAGACTTTCTTTGTGAAAGGTTACTAGAATTCCCATAAATTTATGACCATGCTCACTGCATCTTTCTCACATACCTTTCTGGCCACTTCCATTATCCTCAGCAGAAACTGTGAATGTTCAGGTCAATAATCTGGGAATGTCTGGTATAATGACAACAATGTAGGGTGAGAGTAGTTTGGTCAAGAGATGGCTTAGAAAGACAGCTTGAAGACTAGAGGCTACACTGGTATTCCTAGGAGAGTAGGATCTTACATGAGGTGTACAGGCAATGGTCTGGAAATTGGAATAACAGTAAATTGTGTACTTGTGCATGGACAAGCAGATGTGGCTTAAGTTTGGATTTCTTTGCTTTTTCGGGGATTCAGAGCATCTGTTTTTCCCTACTAGTAGCAACTTTAATGGCTTCACTGCATATTTCTTCAGGTTTCTTAGGGTTTGCCTGTTTGCTTATTCAAAACTTCATCTGGAACTGGGTGTGCAGTATGCAATACCCTGCCTAGATGAAACTGTATTCAGAGGAGAGGATGACTGATGACAAAGCACATACAAAAACAACCAGGGGGTGGCTAGACATGCACAAGAGCTTGTGGGTTCCGCTCCATCTGTTGGCAGTAGTGCAGACCCGTGGGCAGCTAAAAGTGCAAGTTCTCAGCAGAAGTGGGGGAATGTTTTGTCTGTCAGCAGCTCTACGTGAAGTCTTATCTGTTCATTAAGCTTTCTTGTGATTAGGCTAATCTGCCAGAAAAGTGTTTTTCCTGATAGATCCCCTTCCCATCAATCAGGCTCCTGTGAACTGAGCTGCAGTCATTAATCAGGCCTGTATGTACTCACCACATACCAGTCAGCCTACTATGCTTCACATCGCTTTAATTTTCTGTTAAATATGCACATCTACATTGAAATAGGTATAAAGTTTCATGGCAAATAATAATCTAGCATTTGCTGACTTCTTAGTGCTCATCTTTGTCATCAATTTCTGTGTTGCATCATTACTATAAATAACAGCAATCCAATGGGACCTTCAGAGGCTGTTCTGTTGCCTCACCCATTTTCCTTGATGGCCCATTGAGCAATGTGTCTTCCCAATGTGTTATTATTGCAGAAACACCTGTGATAGCTGTTGGTAATAACTGTGCTAATGCACTGTGAATATTCAGTGTCCAGTAGCTGTAATTATGATAGTAAGAACTTTCAGCTAGCAGCATTACCTAATTGACTCGAACAATTCTCAAACTGTAATATTTGTTTTAATAGGCTTATCCTGCTGAGACATTGGGGGATATTTAGTCTTTCTACAGATAACATATGGAATTGATATTACAAATATTTCACTGTTACGCTAAATATTTATTCCTCATCTTAAGCTTCAGTTTTATTTTCATAATACCAGAAGTATAAATAATATTATATCAATAAAAAGGAGTTAACTGAAAAGTAACTTAATTTGAATGACTCATAGTTCTTATTCTGAAATAGCTTCCATACTTCCTTGTTTCCTCATCTTTTTATTTCCATTGTTTATCTATGATAATTTTTCTTATTTTGAAATTTGAGGGAAGAAAAAAACCTTTGGCATAGTGATAAAATTGCCCTTCTCCCAGTCTTTAAAAATGAGAATGTCTCTAAACAGATTTTTTTAAAGGGACACAGATGGCAGGTTTGTGAAACTTGGCATAAACTTTATCTTCTTTATTGAGAAGTAGTAGTTAGGGGACTTTAAAGAAGCTCATGGGATGATATAAATTCATTTCTGAGCATGTCTGAAGGACATCTGCACAGGTTGTAAGAGAACTGAACAAAACTTCACCCATTCAGCACAGCGCTGGACACTGCACATGCATCTGTCTGCTTTCAGGCAGTTTTTACCCCTCGCACATGAGGGATTTGTGAATGTCTCCGTGAATTGCATGAACCAATATCTTCCAGGAAATCTCGGGAGGCAGAAAATTGCAGGTTAATGTCAGTTTGAAAGATTTAGCAATTTCTGTTTAATTTACAACATTATCAATACTCTTCTAAACAAAAAAGCAAAACCCTCAGCACTGCATAGCCTGGAAATACCAGCTCTGGACAGAAAGAAAAATAAAATATACTACAGATATCTATTACTGGCTTCATACTGTCTACAGTGAAGAAATCTGAATAGGCAGTGAATTAAAGCAGAAAGATGGCAACTCTGCACCACTGTCTCTACACTTACATGTATTCAAATACCTCAGCATTTGCTTTCAAATACAACAGATATTTGTTGATTAAATGCCAACTCCAAAAACACATACTGAAGATAACCTAAAGAAGGTTGATCAGATAAAGACAATTATACACAAAGAAGCAATTTATGTGTGTAAAAAAATGTAGTTTTTATTTATTTCCTCTGTAGTGGTGTCTAAAAGAGGCCCAACTAGCCTTATAACATGCTGAGGAGATATAAAGAAACGTACATTAAATTAGAAAAAGAAGGACTTTGTCTAATATTGCTAATAAGTTTAAAACATGGAGTGTGTTCCTTTTTTCAGTCTAGTAACAGTAACCATCTCTTTTGTTTTATGTTTATCTTTTTGTTTTCACTTCCAGGAGCTGGAGTTTTCCAACCTGTTTGCAGTCCTTCACTGTATCCACTCGTTCTCAGCAAAGCCACAGCTTCTGCTGCTCCCACAACTTCTGGTACTGGCAAATTAAAGTATACTACTTGACATCTCACATTACAGCACTGCCACTTAACAAGACATAATAATGTATAAATATTCATAAGATGTAGACCTTTGGTGAACCATGTACGTGGAAACCAATCCTGGAGGCAAGACAACTTGCAGCATCAGCAGATAAATGGTCACGTGGGATCATAAATTCATCTCTGTTCTGCAAGACATCAGTAAATAATCCTAGTCGAAACCCCAGAATAGGATGGATATGCTTTTAGTATGATCTATTTGTACTTACATAGTGCTTTAAGCAACACTGGAAGCAAAGGAATAAATGACAAAATGAAGCACTTCAGTATTTAATAAAATTTTCAAATTGCTGTAATAATACACAAATAGAATTGTCATTTTCCTGTTTTCAGATGTTTTTTATGACAATATACTAAACTGAATATGAACTTAATACCCTATCATTGTATTATATATTACATAAGAGCAAGCAACAAGCATATAGTACATGGTGACAAGGAGATAAGCATGAAACGGCATTTGTGTAAGTATCTCCTCAAATAAGAAAGCACTTTAAGCACTGTTGTAAATCCATACTTGTGTCCATACATGGAGTCATGCTACTTTTTCTATTTTGTTCTTCTAGTCTAACAATAACAAAAACAAAGATATAGCCATACTGGACTGACACATTAAAAAAAAAAACCCCAAACAAACAAACAAAACAAAAAAACCCAAGCAACAAAACCCAAAACACCTTCCCACGAGTAAGCCCCTCTTCTTCAAGTAAAAATAATGTGATATGAATTTAATTACAAATTAAGTGCAAGTGCGTAAAATATCATATGTTCTATTTACTTCCTCCTTTATTTTTGTCAAGAATTAAATTCTGTAAATCTAATAGTCTTTGTTCAGAATCAGCTGTTCAATTTGTTTCAGAGACAATCCACCTTATACATTGTTTCCATGTTTAACCTTGATTTCACATCATAAGTAGAACCTCTGTTCCACTCAGACTCTCAACAAAATAGACGTTCTACATTATGCTTGAAAAATGAGTCCACCCTTTGAATTCTTAATAATTTCTTTTTTTTTTTTTATATGGCTAATAAAAGACAGGAATAAATTAAGTAACCTGTAAAGAATAGATGACAGAATGCATAATGTCTTTGTACGTTAAGAATATTACATCACTCTGGACCACATACTAGTTCCAGAGTATCATTTAATGATGAAATCTGAGGGAGCTGTAAATTTAAAAGTAATAATTTAAATATAATTTTTCAAAATAATTTAATTTTGTGCTATTACACACGTCAGTGAAGATGGAAAAATGGTGGGAGCATGTGTGGGATGTAACTGAAACAACAGAAAAGGTGGGGGATTTTTTTTGCCAGACAGGATAAGATAACCTAAAAAAATTGCAGGAAGAACAGTTAGTGCAGCTACAGTGTGTGCATAACTTTTTAAATAGTACTTTGTGAGGTTTCTGCTTATTATATCGAAATCAAAACTTCCTTCTCCCTCCTCCCCCCCCCCATCCCTTAGATTTGTTATAAAATCACATAGCACGTAAGGGTTATGAACACCATCTGCCTTGTTTAGCAGAAAAACTAATTCTGTCACATCCTTTTCTACATATTAAGACAAATTAAACTTTAAAACTGAAGCTAGAGGAAAGCATTTTCAAAATGGGAACAATTCAAAATGCAAGTCAGGGACAAAAGATGAATGAACTGTAGGGGCAAATCATGTCTCTGTTTTTTTTTGGTTTGCATTAGAAGTGTTTGGATTTATGTGTGTGAGAGTATCCTTGCCTTGAAGTATAGCTGATCTCGCTTTATACCAGTTCCAAGTAATCTGAAAATGTATTTTCTGGCATCTCTTTTATCACTTTCAAATGACTTTCAGGACATGCTTGCTTGTTATTAGTACACATCCAAGGGTTACACGTTTATTTTCCATGCTAAATACAGTGGGATGATGTTGTAATCCAGCTATTAAATGCTTTAGGTGTCATCAAAATCCAACATTTTCATAGTCATCATTGTGTGTTTGTTTATATGAATTGTCCCTAAATAAGGAGGTCACATCCTGGTCTCTGAATGACACATAAAACTACTGTGCCTGTCCATGGGATCTTGAGTTTATTCCTGGGCGTGTACAAACCCCAGATATTTTGAATCCAAAGCTACAACAGTCTAAGGGGTTTAACGATGGCAACTCAGGCACTGTCCTTGTCAAGAAAGCATATACTGGAAACACTAATTTTGACAGAGCACTGACAATGTCGAAAACAGAAGCCTGATATCTGTTAATGACAGTTCTCCTCCTGTGTGCTCCTGAATCATCTCCTTCCTTTTAGTGTGTTGCTGTAGCACTCAGCTATCACAGTGTTGGCATGTGCTAACACCTCAGTAAATGCTTTGCTGGTAATTGCAGAACCTAAAACTAATTGGCTGCCAGTTGAATGTTTTTCCTTCAACCGTTCATGTTACGTGCACACTTCTACTGCTGAAACTGAGAGTTGTTTAAGGGACATTGTTTAACGTGCTTAAATGAACATAACATTTACCCAAAACAGCAGAAAGTATGTCATTGCAAATTGCTGTAGATTAACAGATTTCGTGATATGAAAGTCCCCCATTTCTTTTTAAAAATGCTCCTTGCACAGAACTGAACTAATGACGTGAACTTTTGGGACTCCACCAGGGTATCCCAGAGATCTCTGTCAAGTATTCTGTTTGCAGAACTGCTGTATGCATCAATGAGACTACTGTAACTGGGCTTTAAATACACAACACTTAAGAGACAAACTTTAACCTGAAAATTGATTATTTTTTTTTCTAAACCCCTATATTTCAAAGAGCTACACTGGTGGAGCTTAATCGATACTTTTATTTTCAAGAAGATAAAAGTGATGTTGTAAGAAAATAAAATGCCATAGCCTTGACTGCAGGTCATCATTTGCTCATAAATGCAGCAGGGGTTTGCACACTGACCTCACAGAATGTTCAGAGGTGACTCTGCATCCAGGCTTGCCCTTTTAGAGCAAGTTGGTTGGCAATTCAGTCTTAAACCAAAGAGGGAAAATTTTAAACTCTGTGTTATAACTGATCCTGAAATAGCAAAATATAATTTACAAACATATTAAATGGCTATATTTTTAATTTAAATACCTAGAGGAGATTCCCATTTAAAGCATAGTGAACTACATATGCCTATGTCAAAACCCAGGTTTTATGTTGCAGCCTCTTATTTCACACGTGACATATAAGTATTTTGTAAGTTGACACAGCCCAGTGACAACAAAAAACCAAAACTATAATGAGCTATCAGCTTTTGCTAGAAATCTGTATGCAAGTGAAAGCAAATATTTTAACAAAAAAGACCAAACCAACCAACCCATAGCATAAAATGTAATTTGTTCTCTTTATGTCATGATATTCTTAAATAAGTTTGATAAAAAAAAATCTTTATAGTACTGTGCCTATTGAAGTGGTGTTATATAGTATACCAAAAATATGTACTCTTAAGTATAACTAAATATATTTGGGTTGATTTGCTTTGCTTTATGATGCAAATTTTAGATGATCTGACCTTCACAGAACTAACCATATGCTGGGTTATAGTGTTAGCATAATTTTATTATGAAAGTGTTACCAATTTGAATACATGTTATTTTGGGTTTCATCAGTGAATGAATACATTTCATTTCCTACATCTGTTTAAAAATACAGTTCCAGATTTTCAAGAGAGCTTTGCATTCCATTATCATGAAGGCACCTTTGAAATAAAAATCAGGACATTTTTAAATGGTGATCATTTTATATTGTTAATTAAGTGCAGCAAGAAGTTTGTGGAGGCAAACTAGTTGTAAGTGGGTTAATTTTTAAAACCAGTAATCTGAAGTTTTGTCTATTCAAATTAGAATTCATAAGAATGCAAACCAATAATATACAGTATCAATAAACTTTGAGATGAGAATAATGAAAAATATTATTTTCCAAATTAGTCCTTGATTCCACAAAAATATATTTATTTACTTTGTGCATGTAGACTTTATCAGAAGACCTCAAAGTGGACAGTTAAACACAATTAGGTAGTTGTCAATACTGCAGCCTATTACTTTAAATGTGATTTGGTTTATTCAATGCCTTAAGATGTTTCTTACATCAAACAAAATATTAAAAAAGCTAAAGATCTTGTGAATGTACAGTTGCTGCCCTTAGAAATTCAGCAGCTTTGCTACATATTGTCTAAGTACCCTCGAGTATTCCCTATGCCAAAAAGAAAGACCAGTTTTCATTCTGGTATGGCAATTCCAAGGAACCTTTTGGAAAATGTAATTTTATTAATATTAAACACTAATCCTTGTATTGCACTTTCCATTTCCTTACAAGGTCTGGTCTCTGAAAAAGTGTGGTGTCTGAAAAAAGGTTTAAGCTGATCTTAAAATGTTTAACCTTGGGCAATTATGAGTCTGTACTTTGGACTCGCACCTCTAACCAGTTCTGCATGATAAGAAACATGAGAGGCTCACACAAACTCCCAAAATTTAAGTACCTGTCTTAGATGCCTAAGGTAGGACTTGAGGCTCTCAAAAGGGAAATACAAGGCAGGAACATAGCTTAGGATCTCTGAAGGTGCATGCGTACGTGTGTCTCTAAGGAGCTAGAGGTGCTTCTACATTAGTGTTTTCATTTTATCAGGAATGTGCTTTTGAAGCCAAGTTCCTGCCTGCTGCCACTCACTGTGCTATTCTTCATACTGCAGAGCTGTCTTTAAGCACACAAACTGGCTTTTTAGGATGAACCTAAACGAGCATCACACCTATATGGGTTCCAGGTCCTGATGGGCTTTCAGACCATGCCACTCAACTGAAATGAGTCCAAAGGAAAGAAAAAACCCTCTGAGATGTTAACAGCGAGGCTGCCAGCTCCTGGTGCCAGCCGTTTCTGTCTCTGCAGCAGCTGCTGCTCATGCACCATGGGTGTTTGAAGGACCCTAGAAAGCTGAGCTTCACAG